GGTTGAGTTTCTCTGACTTCAAAAGGGAAAAGAAACTGGTACGATATAATGACGGTGGGAAAAGATAGATGCTGCTGTGACTGTTAGTCGTGTGCTATTTAGCTGTTGAAAGAAAAAAAAAATTTCGGGGTAAGCAAGCTGAATTAGAGAAATCATAAAGAAGAAAACACAGAGGAGACTGATTTTGTTCTTACTAATTGAAATACCTAAGGGAGAAGGAAAACTGAATTGAGTTTTTAAAAAGTAATGTAATAATTGTGGGGAAAGTTGATAAGAGTACTGGATGAACTGCTTACGTAAGCTTACTTGATGACAAACTTTGGTGTTCATGAAATGTCAATTTAAGAATAAAGGAAAGGAAGGAGGCCATGTGTTTTCTTGGACTGCAAGCAACTCTTCTCACAATTGGATTCCATTCATTTAGAAGCAGGTTCTTCCTTGCCCAGGAATGACCCATGGTTATGGAATTCACATGGCGAGTCATTCTATTTCCAGAAGTCACTACTGCAGAAGGAACAGAACTACATCGCAGTAAGATAGGATGAGATGAAATCTACCGCACACCAAATCACCAGGGAAGCCGGCAAGGCAAGGACCTGTAAAGGGCAAGGAGGAAAGGTGTAGGTATACCTTCACGGTAGGTAAGACAGAGGAGAAAACTGAAGCTTAGAGAGGTGCAATGACTGACTAGGGAGAGAACTAAATTACATGAACTTCTACCTGCATTTTGCTGCTCACTGTTCAGGTTCTCTTCTACATTTGGACAGTTCAGTATGAGGGCTATGTGTGTGTGTGCCGATACACATTAATCCTCTCCTATGCAATGACAGATCCTCTACTAGACTCAGGCAAAATAAAAAAGATGAGGCACACCTCCTTCAATTGAAAAAAAGAATTTTTTGTTTTGAAACACATGGTTAAGTAAGTAAACGCTTATTAAAAATATTGACTGAGGACTCAAATGTCAAAGACTAGACTAGTTTTTTTGTTTGTTGCAGAAGGTTGGAGTTAGGGAACTGAGATTTGATTAACAATTTTTCTTTCACTACACTATTGGTACTTTTCAGCTCTTGGGTAGTAGTGAACCAAACAGAAGAAAAGCATGTATATCATGCAACTCTTTCACAACTACCACACGATAGAGTCTATGTTGATAGGGTGTTTTCACTGTGACAATTTCTTAAAGAGTATTTCTGGGCACTCGACTACAATCACTTGTTCCTGGTCCTTGAAATTTGGGTTATCTTTTCCCCTCTAAAAATTTCACAGATGAATGCACCAAAGTCGGGGTAATGATGAGCAACAAGTCACAGACACAATTTCTGTGCAGACCTCATGTGGAATCAGCAGCATCCACATTTCAAGCACTGGAAAACGAAGGAGGTAAATTATCAAAAAAAGGAAAAGTGGGTGAGCTTCTGAGCACTGTCTTCCTCTGAGTTCAGATTTAGGCAAATGTTGGCCCCAAAAAACCTGAAGGCAGTTGCTTTGTGGGATAAATCACACCGATTTAAATGGCATGATGGGACTGTAAATGACATTTGAAGCACTGGAATACAGCTACAGAACAGCCAGCACCATTTCAGAAGGCCAACATGTACCCAAAAGAGAAATTCTAAGTAGAAAATTGTAACAAAAAAGCACTCTATTCATGCATTCATTCATACACTTAATATGTCAATATTGTTCTAGACACCAGGATACAGCAACTAACAAGAGACAAGTCCCTGCCTTCATGGAGCTTATATTCTAATCCAGAAAGACAGACTACTAACCTAAGTTAAAAGACACAGTAAGTTAGAAGGTAGTGTCATACAGGAAAATAAAGCAGAGAAGGGGGGAGGGGGTTGGCCAGGTGGCCAGGGAAGGCTGGCGAATTAGTGATGTCTGAATGAGGGCTGAGACCTTGAGGGTCACAGCCAAGTCCCTATGTAAGGAAAGAATATTCCAGACATGTGAACAAAAGCAATGGCTCTGAAGCAAGAATGTGCGGGCATTGTGAGGGAATAATGAACAAGCCAGTGTGTTTAAATGCCTTAAACTGCTTCCAGATGAAAGGGTTACGATAAGGGACAAATATAATTAACACAGCCACATTTTCATAAACTCCTATAACAGGAATGTGCCTTTATAATCACTTCCTCAACCCCCTGAATTTTATCAAGGGAGAACCAAGAAAGAAAAGATTGAGAAAGTAGTCTGAGGTTACAGAGGCAGCCGGAAAGGGCTCAGGACAAGAACCCCCAGCACTGACGGTTGGGTGTCATGCTCCAATTTTTTAATTAACAGAAACATTTTTTATTAAAAAAAAAAAGTTGAAAAAACTACAGAAGAACCCAGCCAAACTAATAATAATCTTAGACCTGAAAATGGATGGATTTCACCTTTTCATTCAACAGATAGCCAAGGGACATAGATAGATAGATTAGATAGACAGACAGACAGACAGACAGACAGACAGACAGACAGACAGACAGACAGATAGATCTCTTGAATATTTGTTGTAGAATGAAAGCAATAATATATACACCTTTACCTAGACCTACTGCTCAACAATGAAAGGTGTAGGTGTGTGACATAGAAACTTGTGCCCAAGGTAGCATAGGAACCACATCTCAGATACTGAGTCTATTTTGATAAAGGAAAAAAATGGAGATCAACTGTCCATAATAGAAAAATAATGTACTGAGCAGTGAAAAAAGTAGTAACACTAGTTGTCTCTTGGCCAGGGAAGGGATACTATAATTTATTCATGCACTGGAATTCTCTGTAGCAGCTAAATAATCTACATGTACTTCAAAAGCATAATGACAAACTTGAAAATGCAAGTCACACATACGGAACTATGTCATGTATGTAACATGCTCAATTCACAGGCTCATAGGAATGCTTCGTGGATACAGAAATGCAGGAGTATCACCATGTTTGGAAACCACAGTCACTAACTTCACATAAGTAGTTCCCTGAGGTAGAGGCAGAGGACACCGGATGGACAAACTATTTTTTTAATCATAGTTGATTATCACTTGGGGGGCAGGAGGGACAGGGAGCAAATACAGAAAGATTAACAACATAAGGTCATGGAAAATGGAATTTTACTATGATCTTTTAATGTTTGCAGTATTTCATACAAATTTGGAAAGACAGACAAAGCTCCTCCATCACCTGTTGTAAGGTCCAAGGCCCAGTGTCCTTAACTCCAAACCTCAGTCTCTATGGCCCTGAACCATAGTGTTACCCTGTCAGGAGTTATCTGCTTCAAAGATGTTCTGACAAGCCCTTTGGACACTGGACTTCACTATCAAGTATACTACTACTCAGGCCACAGTATCCTTCCCCCACCCTTTACTTCCCCTCCCCATCGAGTTCACAGATACTAGTAAGGTTTCAACAGCACACCAACACCCTAACAAAAGTAGTAAATGAAGCATCTCAATGACTCGAGATGAAAATCTGTAGCAGCCCAGTCGAAATCTCTCCCCCACTGTATGTCACCAAGCATTGGTTAAAAGTGATAAGAACTTCATAAATTTTCTCATATACAATCTACTCTTACAAGTCCAAAGGAAGAACCTATAAAACACCGGCTAGGCATCATTAAGGAACCGGGATCCGATTGCATCCATCAGCAAAGCTGCCAGCCACCTGCACGCTGGCACAGAGCAACCGAAGCCCAGTCTCCTTACAATGCTGATCTTTTTCTCCGCTGTTCAAACCTCAGAGAGGAGACTGTCCCAGCTAAGAAGAGTTTCTGCTGAGTCCTGCTGACCTGTAAGTCCCTCTGCCAAACCCTTACAGCCTGGAGGTCACTTTCTACGGAGAACTGGCAATGTTTGGCCATCTCCGCTCCCGGAAGGAAAACCGAGACCATCGCAATCACCTGCGAGCCTGCGGTCAAGGGAAGCCGCAGGTGGAGGTGAGCGCCCCCGAGTTCCCAGAGGTGCCCCAGTCATCCTCGGAAATAAAGCTGCGCTGAGCTGGACTCGTTGGAGATGCGCAAACCTGGATACAGCGCGCTGGCTTCAGGAAGGTCACGACTAACCCTTCCACTTACTCCGGGCTCCGTCTGCCCGGTCTGCTGCCTCTCCAGACTCTGAACCCCTGCCCTCGACAAAAAAAAAAAAGGGGGGGGGGAGGAGGGGATGGTGCGAGCTCCAAAGGCAGTGAGTGTGATCCGGGAATGAGCCCTAGAACCCTGCAAACCGCTTAAACTAAACCGCACGCGCACCCTGCCCCGGCCGCGGCGAAGAGGAGAGCGGTAGGCGAGGATGCCCGCCCTCCCGGAGACCCGGCAGATGGCGGGCGCCCCTCTCGCCGCTCCACACCCTCCCGCTCGCCAAGTCCTAGCGGCCCCGAGTCTGCCCCAACTCCAGCATCCCTGCTGCCCACCCTCCTCGGAGCTGCCGCGGGGGAAAAGACACGGACGGTGGGGAACGGTGTACAGTCCCAGGCCCCGAGTAGCTTGGCCTGCACCCCTGCACCAGCCGAGGGGCTCCCAGGAGTCAGAAAATGAACAATAGCGGCCCATGAGTCGCCGGAGCTGCGGGGTCTCCCGCTCGCGCCGACCTCCCCAGTTCCCAAGTTCAGCGCAGGGACGGGTCGGGTCAGCGCAGGGGCCGCGGCACCCGGCCGCAAGCAGGTGGGCAGGGTGCTGGCTCCCGGGCGCACCCACAACGGCCGGCCGGCCCGGGTCCGGTCATTCATTCCACCCGCCTGCGAGTCGCGGGGCGCGCGGGGGCCGCTCTCCTAACTTAACTGGGTCCTCCTTCTCCACGCGGATGCCCACCACGCTCCTCGCCTGTCCCCCAAATCTGGCTTCTGCAGAGTTGGCGACTTGCAGTGAAGCAGGGAGGGTGGCGGGACCCCGGCTGCCACCCGCTACGCCGCTCCACCCGGCGCGGCTCGCAGCCTCCAGAGCCCGAGTCCCAGACACAAAGGCGGGGAGCAGAGCCCGGGACCCCGCTCCCGGGAGCCTCCCCACTCTCGCGCCGCGCACTCACCCCATCGAGGCAGCGGCGGCGGCTTTCCCGGCCCCGCTGCTGCGCCACCCCGCCCGCCGCTTCCCCAGGAAAACGCGGCCGCCGGGCTCGCTTCCTGCCGGGCTTCCTGCGCCGCGGTCCCTCCTCCTTCCCGCTGCGGGGGTCAGTGGGCG